ATAGGAAATTTAATTACTTTTTATCAATTAACTCTTTTTATTGTTTGATGAAATACATGTTATACAAAAGAATGGATAAGATTTAATTGGTTGTTTACATTGCTTAATTTTATTTATTTACAGGGTATTGAGGAAGATTTTAGTGAAAAGCCAGTGAAGAAGAATTGGAATCCGAGAGGTAATTCTATGACTCTCTCTCTCTCTCTCTCTCTCTCTCTGTGCTTTTTAATTTCAACTTTTGAGCGATCACTGCTAATATTGAGTTGGTTTTGTCTATTTTTAAGATGTTGAGCATATGAGGGCAGTGAAGGAGGCACTGCATGTTTCAACAGCTCCATCAACTATTGTGTGCAGAGAAGATGAACAGAAAAGGGTTTTAGAGTTTTGCAAGGCATGTGTAGAACAAGAGAAAGCTGGGAGTTTGTACGTATGTGGATGTCCTGGGACAGGGAAATCATTATCAATGGAGAAAGTAAAACAGCAAGTTATTGATTGGGCAACGACGGTTGGTTCATTGCTTATTATCTAATTGAAATGGGTTATCATTTTCAATTATTTACTTTCTTTTTTCTTTTTTGTAGCGGGAAGATTTGCTGCCACTTGAAGTATTAGCACTGAGTTGTACTTCTTTAGCAAACACATCTGAGATTTTTAGTAAGGTATTGTTATTCAGACTTTATCAAGATTGAACGTTTGAATTCTGCAAAGATTTACCTGATAATCACCTTGACAGATTCTTGGCAAGCACCGACCAAAGAAGAAAACTATGGGCTCGACATCACCTTTACAACACCTACAGAAACTGTATTCTAATAAGCAGGCACGATCTGGCTCAAAGATGATGTAAGAAATTTTCCCTCAGTAGCTTGAAGCATCTTTATTTTCCTCTTCCATTTTGCCTTGATCAAAAAATTATGAATTTTTGCAGGTTGATTATTGCTGATGAGTTGGATTATTTGATTACGAAGGACAGGGCGGTGCTTCATGATCTTTTCATGCTTACAACTTTTCCGTTCTCTAGATGTATATTGATAGGTATATTCATTGCAACTATGACATTATAAATCTGCTCATTTCTATGCAATTGCCTTGATTGCCAGTGTTCCACACCCCCCCCCCCCCCCCCCCCCCCCTCCCCCCTCCTTATTTGTCTTGATTCATGCTGTTATTTGCTCAGGGATGTTATTCTTGTTCTGTTTTTTCTTTTTTTGCAGGAATTGCAAATTCTATTGACCTAGCTGATCGGTTTCTTCCAAGACTTCAGTCATTGAATTGTGAGCCCCTCACTTACATTACATTGGTCAACAATGATATTAAGCTTGATTTTATTAAATTATCTTGTGGTAGCAGTTCTTGTTTCTTTGAGATTCTTGAAGCTTGTCTTATAACTTTATCTTGTCCTGACTATTGTTCAACTATAAAATGGTGGATGGTCATCCAGTATCTTTCTGATTTGCCACCTAAGGAACAGAATTAAAAATAAAACCATTTTGAAGTAGTGCAGTATTTAGCATCCTTCATACATGAAGCTGGTGGGTATGGATTTTCTCCTTATTACTTACTAGGTTATTATTTTCTGAATTTTTCCGTTTATCATTTTTCTCTGCGGGTATTAACTCCAAGCAATGCTTTAGGCCCTTTCTGTGGTAGTGGCTAGTTGCAATTACGCAATATGGATGCTTGGTTGTTTTGGAAGTAATACTAATTATTTATGCTACCACTTCTCTGTTAGGCAAGCCTATGGTTGTAACCTTCCGTGCCTACTCTAAAGATCAAATCCTGTCAATACTTCAAGAGAGGCTCCTGGTAATTTTTGCATTCCACTTTTTCTTTGTAGACATGCTTTTAATATGATCTTATTGAGTTTTAATGACTTTACACTCTCATAGGTACTTCCATATATTGTCTTCGAGCAGCAAGCTTTAGAACTTTGTGCCAGAGTGAGTTATATGATCTGAATTCTGTTGAAAACCATTTCCCATCTTCAATTGATCTACTATCAATTGATACTGAAAGCTTGAAATTTAACAGAAAGTTGCAGCTGCATCTGGAGATATGCGGAAGGCTCTTTGTGTATGTAGGTCAGTGTTTCATTGCTGTTGCTGCAAACTTAACTATGGTCTCTTGTATTCAATTGTTCAGTCTTTGACCAATTAGGCCTTAGAAGTGACATTATAACTGATATTAGTTAAATTGACAACAGATGCAGCAATTTAATTTTGTTTCAAAAAAGATTGTTCTGCACGTTTGATTATAATAAATATACTTTAAATTCTATTGGTTTTCAAGGCATTTTATTTTCATTGCTTTAAGCTCAACTATATTCGATATATAATCTTCAAATTCCTAATTTATTCATATTTTTTTTCTATCTCCTACATATCAACATTGTAGATAGTTTGCTTCCTATTGAATAAGATCTTCCCTGCCTTGACTAGAGTAGTTACTTTAAGTTATTGGCTAACATTCTTCAGTTTGTTCCAGGAGTGCGATGGAAATTCTAGAAGCAGAATTAAGAGAATCTGCAAGTAACCTGAGCTTGGCATCTGTAGAGGGGGAGTTCATTAGTCAGCAGACAGCTCCGGCTCTTGAAATCTTCCAATCAGAAGAAAATAATACTGTAGGTGGTCATCAATAGGTTAATGTTAACCTCTTCCTAACTTGAGCTTGTTATGTCAGTTTACACATCATGCTTACCTATTACGGCCTCTACAGTTGCTTACACATTGTTTTAAGGATATATTTCAGGTCAGGATTGATCATATGGCTCTTGCATTGTCAAAGACATTCAGATCACCTATAGTTGACACTATACAGTCTCTTCCTCAGCATCAACAAGTAAGTTTGATCATTAATATTAATTTCACCGCTACAGTAATAACCTATTAATAGTAAAATAGACTGATAATTAATATCAAAGTCCAGTCTCTGCTTCTTCATCTTCTCTCATGCTGTTATGTTTGACTGCAGATTATACTTTGCTCTGCGGTGAAGTTTTTCCGTGGAGGAAAGAAGGATTCAACCGTTGGGGAGGTGTGTTTTCCTCAATGCTTGACATTAATTGAAATGTTTGATATAATTATTAGTTGCATAATTGATATATAAGGGTGTTACATTGGTGCAGCTCAATAAATCTTATATTGACATCTGCAAATCAGCAATGATACCACCTGTTGGAATTTTGGAATTCTCAAGCATGTGCAGAGTGCTAAATGACCAAGTAAGTAGAGTATACCTATTCTTGGCTTTGAGTTCAGTTCTCTTAACCTAGCTTTAGGTGACGGCATTAATTGTTTCTTGGAATGGCATTAACTATCTAACTTGACCAAATATGGAAACTGGTATTTGACTTGGTGCAATGTACAGGGGCTCTTCAAACTAGGTCAATCTCGTGATGATAAATCAAAGAGAGTGACACTAAAGGTGGATGAAGCCGATATCTCCTTTGCACTGCAGGTAGAAATTCGTCATTTGAGAATGACAGACAGCATTTTGTCTTCTTGAGCTTTAATTTGTTTCTCACTGTCAACCATTTACCTGGAACAGGGAGTTCGATTCTTTCGGAATTGTCTTCAGTAATTCCTCATTAACGAATTATGTAAGGACTCAGATTTGGTGGCTGTCTAAATTGTTCAACGTGCCTGCTCCTGACTTCAGGTTTGAAGCCACTGTTTCTACAATTACTTCTAAATATGCTACTTGCTATGCATGCGATTTTTCTTCCAAATCAAATTGTCAGATGGTGATCAGATGTTCAATTGTTATTATGAGGCTGCTATAGGTTTGCAATTCATTTATTAATTGCTATTGTTGTACTTCTTAGTTAAGACAATGGATGCACATGCATGTACCCAGGTCAAAAGCATAATTAAACTACAACCATATATAGCGTTCTGCCAGGACCAAGACAGGACGGGACCGACTGATAAAAAAATTATTAAGCGTCAAGTCCACTGTTCTTGTGTTACAAATTGGACATGCAAGGTTGTATTTAGTCGAATCTATTTTAAAGTTGGTCTCCGTGTCTTCTTATGAAACTTGTCGCCTTTCACCATCAGGCAAGGCAAGTGTTATAGTTGGGTGAGGTTGTACTTTAATTGGCTTATTTATTGAACATTAATTTATTTCCACAGGCATGCCATTATAAGCTTGATCCTGAAGCTGCGGTCATGTTTATTCGACTTGGGTATTGCAACGATTAAACCCATTGCAACTTTGAGGGGGAATGCCATCCAGCACTTCTTTCTTTCAGGAATGCAAGAGAACATGCAATTATTGACAATTTTATACAAATTGTAAATTTCAAAAATGGGGGTTCTTTTTTTTGCCATAAACTTTGAAAGTATATATTCTTGTGTAATTTTTTTTTCTTGATGGGATTCTTGTGTAATATTGATTCTTTTATTACATTACTTTTTTTTTTTGAAAGACAATGAAGAGTTATTTTATTAACAAGTCTTGCAGAACAATCAGTCCTGCAAGTGAAGGAATACAAAAGCTGGAGGCATAGATCCTCCAGAAAAGCTGTAACTTGTGAAAGCGAAATGAACTCAAAGCAAAAATCTCGAATTGTAAATGAGATCAACTTCTTGAAAACCTTACAAAAACTTTGATAGGAAAACAAAAAGAACATGGGGTTCAAAAAAAAAAACTTATCCCATTACAACTAAGTCTTTGAATTCAAAAGACTTAAGTTAAGACGGTGTCTTTGAATTCAAAAGACTTAAGTTAAGACGGTTTTCGGGTGTGAAAATCTTTTTCAGGCCAAGACTCAAAACAACAAGAAATAAGAAATTGTTTGAATACTTTTACATTACTTTTTCTTATAAATATTTTTAATAAAGACACAAGTAAAGATGTTTTTTCACTCAATAAATATTTTTTAAATAAAAAATATAAATTCGTGACTTCAAAATTTACTTAATTTTTTATGTAGGATATTATACGAAATATCTGGAGTAAATCTTTATTAATGTAGGTGGGGAGAATATTGGGTGGGCTTGCCCACTGCCTCTTGTCTATTTGTGTATGTGCACGCGTCATTCGTGCTGCATTGGGGATTAGAACCTTAGCTTTACCGTCTGTAATTTCATATGAGGCACGGAGCATCCCATGCATGTATACTCGCTTAAACACGATAGAGAACTAATAGAGCAAAATCAAGTGATCAACTTATCAACATTTGATTCGGATATACCTCAACTCCAAACACTCCACCTTCATCAAAAACTCAAGCCTTGAGATGTCATGGCTTAAAATATCAACCAATCAGCAAGAATGTTTTTCTGTTTTAGTTTACCTGTGCCTGTGGGATTTCTTGGAGAGGAGGAGAAAAACAGATTAAAAGGAAGAGAATATACTGCTGAAGTGGAAAGGAAAACAAGGGCGCGCTGAAAATCGGCCACTAGTCACATCAATGCACGAAGGTTCATCTGCTGCTAGTAAGTATGATGCCTCCCCTAGTTTTGTTGCTTACAAAAAAATGGCTTCTCCTGAACAAGTGCTGGCAGGACATCGAAATGTTTCTGGTTTTTTTTTTCTTCTTTCATTCTTGGCAAGTAGTACCTCCCCATGGGAGAATTTCAAAAGCTATAGTATATCAACAAACTAAAAGCTATAGCACTAAAAGTTTCAAAAGCTGAATTGTGGAACAAGGGAAACAAGATCATCCAACATATTATCATCATGTGAATAAAAAAATTCCAGCAATGATAACTGCTAAGTAATTTAAATCAACCTACGAATATTTATTACTTAGTCAAAAAGACCAAAAACCAGGTCCTCTTCTTCCGACTCCTCTACCAGATCTTTGGGCTCCTCGCGCTCCTCTACCTTCTCTTGATTGGCAGCACCGGAAGCTGGAGCAGCTGCAGCAACAGCAACTGCAAACTTGCTCGGATCCTACAAATTTAATCGTCAAAACCCGTTAGTAATTGGTCAATGCTACAAAACTAATTAAGACATAAGACAAATTAAAGAAAGCGTAATAATTCAACCTTCAGGTATTCTTTGACTTTCTCAGCCCGAGGGAAAGAATAGTCTGAAGCCACAGCAACAGCAAGAGCATTCTTGTAGGCATTCACAAACATATGAGGTGCAGCAGCGAGAGTTGGGTATGAAATAGCTAGTGAAAGGGAAGCAGCCACGGACACCCCATTAGCAAACTTTTCGACAAGATCATCTTCAGTTAGATCAAGCACCTCGGGGCTGAAGACTGATCCACTGTCATAAACAGACAGGACAACGAGACCATAGGAAAATGGTCTTATCCCAAGCTTAGACAGAAGGGCAGCCTCAGATGAGCCAACCTTGTCACCCTTTTTAATCAGCTCCACGGGGGTGATAATTTCCACTGTACCTTTGTTGATCTTGGTCGGAATGTTAAGCACCTGATCAGAGGTTCAAATGTGAGATTTAAGAGCTTGTGAAAGCAAAACTTTAAGCATGATTATGAACCTGAAAGAAGGAAGTTTGAGAAGGATCAAGGCCAGTGTTTCCAGGGGGCACAACGACATCAATCGGAGCAATAAGACCCACTCGCGCTGGAGCCCCAACCTGCTCGTGTCAAGCCATATGATTAAAATATTGCATTTCACATATATCCTACACCTCAAAGCTTGACATAAGTACACCACATCCAAATATAATCAAATCTTGGAAAAAATTTACAAGAGACCAAAGTCGGAAGCATATCAAGTCCAAGTCCAAGCAATATAAACAAAAGGAGCAGATATATTGTAGATAAGCATAAAATTGTCAAAAATATTTGACATAAAATCAGATACTTGTCCAAAGAACAGATTTAATCATCAAAGGGTGGCCAATTTCGTAAACGAACTAGAACATTGGTGGTAAATATCTGCAAAACTAGTAAAAGATAATTTCTTGAATTGCAACAAAAAGAAAAAGGTCATCTTTTCATTTGTGCAAACTAGGCAGCAAACAAATGGAAATCAATAAAATGGGTAATTACAACGGTGATAGTCCAACTAATCATGTGGTTAAACAATTTTCACAAGTGAATATAAGGAAAATATAATACACAAACTCTACCATTAACATATATTTATTCAAAAAGTAACCTTAGTATCAATATATTTGTACCTTGTATTTAGCAACTTCTTCACGAACTTCCTTCAGATCACCCTTGGTAAAAATCAACCCCACATTCCCCTGGTAAAAAAGCAAAACACTTCCTCAACAAAATTGACAAAAAAAAACCCCAACAAATAAAAAGTTTATAACAATAAGAATATATATATATGTATGCATAAAACGATCCAATACCACAAGCAAAGGAATGAGGTTTCTGATAGCATCATTGTCAGTGTTTTCAGCATGAAGCCTGATGGACCTCTTCATCATAGTATTCTTTCCCATGAGGACGACGGAGTCACCCCTCAAACCTTTCCTGATGTTCTGCATCTGGGTGGAGCCGACATTGTCAGCAGCCACGATCAAGACCTGAGAGTACTCATCGAGGAGACGACACAGTTTCTGGTCGTACTTCTCTTTCTTCTCCCTCTTGGAAGTATTCACAACCATTTTTGCTTGGCTTCTGGGAAATCCCCCTTCACAAAATGGCTAAAGTGGAAACCCTAAATGGTTGGAGCCGCTGCGCTAGAATGGAGTGGAGTTGCATTGCATGATTATGTATTTATACTTTGAAAGGTGGATTTTTTGGGCTCATCCTTTGATCTTCGATATTGGGCCCACACAAGCAAGTAAGTAATAGGATGTTTTCTTGGATCTTCTTCGTTAAATTAATTAATTACTTGCTTTCCACTGTTTTTTTGGTGGTCCCATTATTTTTAATTTATTCACGTGCAAAACGTTTTAATTCATAAAACGTTTTTCACGCCTTCTTTTTGGTCCAAGAAAAAAAATTTATATTAAACCCTTTTAATTCATAAAATGACCTTTGGGCATAACTTTTCATTAAATTTTATACTTTTAGTATGTTATATTATTTAAATAACATGTTTTAACAACAACAACAATAATAATAATGTAAATATATTGATATGGTAGTCTGATAAATATGAAATTATATTTTAAAATTTTTTGAATTATTTAAAAAAATTAAATGGTTATTTATTTTTTTATTACATTAAATCAAATTTTTATATTTTTATTTTTAAACCAAATAAAACTTATGACTAGCGATTAATTAACTATCATTAATCAGAATGACAAACGTTATTTTATGTCCACATAACACTGAGATGATGTTCATGTAAAAAATAAAAATATTATATAATAATATCATCTATTATGATATGTTAGTATCATATGATATAAAATGATAAGTGATATTTAAATTAACAATAATAAAAGTACTTATTTGACTTATAACAAAAGCATATAAGATTTGATTAAATGTAATATAAAAATAAAAATTTATTTAAATTTTTTAAATATTATACCAAAATAAGTGAAGATTTTTTGATTGATAACATATGATATGGGTGTTAAAAAAGTTGTTTAATTGAGAGATTATTAAGAGCACAAAATAAAAAAAAGACATGATCGAAAAGAAAATAATCTTAATAAATTTTTATGTAAATAGTGAATTATATTTTTTTTATACACTTATCGAAACTATCAGCACAGCTTTTTTTGTGTGGTTAGGATACAAATAATGATGATATTTTTTTGATAAATCGTGTAGGGAATGATGTTAACATTTCTAAAAGTCTTTTTCATTCATAATAATAATTCCAACTAATTTATTTAATACATATTATAATTTTCAACCCTATTATTATTTCCTCCCTGGCTGGTTATTTTATGGAAGAAAAGATATTCAGTGAGAGTCAATTCATGCCCAATTATTGGCTAAAAAAATTTCTAAGCCCAACGAAAACCCGACCCGAGCCCAACAGAACAGTCTACTTGTGACCTGTCATTTCAAAATCAACGAACCGACATTCTCTCTCTGATACAATTCCCTCGTTTGAGCGTGTGTCTTCTTTTTAAAAGAAATGGAAAACGTTTAGCACAGCAGTTTCTTGTGTCGAGCGAAACGGAAAGACAAGTGCTATGGCCACCACCAGTAAAACCCTAGCCGCCGTTACTCTCCGTCAGCTTCCACCGACTCCACTCTGTTCCTCTACAACCGTCTCCGTTAACTTCAACGCCAGATTCTCCGGCTACCGTTCCAGGTCCCTTTTGCTTCTCAGCTCCACTTCCCGCATCCGTACACTCAAATGCTCTGCTCTTTCATCACCTTCTTCCTTAGGTACTCTCACTCTCACTACGATCTCAAGGAAGAAAATGTTTTTTTATGGATTTTCGAGTGCTTTGTTGGATTCCCCGGAAATCGTAGTAGAAAAAGATGTCGCTTTCCTTCTAATTTTGATTAACATTTAATAATTTTAAAGCGGTTAAGGGGTTAATTTATGTTGTGATTTACTCTCAAGGTAATACAAGGCAAGAGGACAGGGAATTTTAATTAAAAAGAAAAATTCTACCTTTGTTTCTGAAAGAGGAAATTACTCGGTTAAATCTAATTAAATCAATTAAAATATTGAATGTTTTAGTTTCTCATTTTCTTCAGAAAATGTATTTTTATTTGTTTATGTGGGTTTCAATTGTTACCAGTTGACCAGTCGGTGAAATTTCGAGAAGCTTCAGAGAATGGGAATTTGGTTCCTCTTTTCCGATGTATATTCTCGGATCACTTAACGCCGGTGATAGCATATCGATGTTTGGTTAAGGAAGATGATAGGGATGCTCCAAGCTTTTTGTTTGAGTCGGTTGAGCCTGGTTTGCAGGCGTCCAGTATCGTAAGTTCCTTCTTTGTGTGCGTGTTATATGTTTATAGTGTGGTTAAGGAATGTTTTTATTTTTTTGGGTTAATTTATGTTAGGGAAGGTATAGTGTGGTTGGAGCTCAGCCAAGCATTGAAATTGTGGCAAAAGAAAATATGGTTACAATTTTAAACCATGAGGAGGGGTGTAGAACAGAGGAGATTGTGGAGGATCCAATGACTGTCCCACGGAGAATTATGGAGGGATGGGAGCCGCAACGTATTGATGAGCTTCCTGAAGGATTTTGTGGTGAGTGACATGGACTAACGGCTTTACCCTCATGATACTCCTTTGTGGATTTTTGGTTTAACCCCTTTGTGGTTAAAGTTTATTTCGATCTTGTCTTCTTTTTTTTTTTTTTTAATTTCTGTTTCTATAGGAACTAGTCTGGCAAAACTTTGATCATACTCTGGAGTTGTGTGACTATTGAGTTGCATATCTCTGTGCTGAAATTGGACTTTTTCCTTTGTTTTGAACAACATTTCTGCAAAAATTTAGCAGTCACATCATTTTGTAATGGGTTGTATAGAAGAGTGGAGTCCTTTTTTTTTTAAATTTTTAAGACACTAAATTAAGGTGTAATATACAATGTCCTTGTTCAGGTGGCTGGGTTGGTTATTTCTCTTATGACACAGTGCGCTATGTAGAGAAGAAGAAGTTGCCGTTCCCTAGTGCTCCCCTGGATGACAGAAACCTTCCTGATGTACATCTAGGCCTCTACGATGATGTGATTGTATTTGACCATGTTGAGAAGGTATTTCACATTTGGCCTATAGGCTATAACTATTTCATTGTTGGGGGCATCTCCCTCTGTTTTGCTTGCAAGGTTGAATATTTGTATCTTTAAGTGTCATCTCTTATTTCTTTTGGGTGTTTCTCAAATTTAAGTGGAGAAATCTCGTACTTCTTACTAAAGCTTCTATCGAAACCAAAAAGCTGTCTCAAAGGCCATCATTGCGATGCCAAGATTGATGTACATTACACATCCTTTTGTTGTTTATTAAATGTACATTACACAACTTGATGAGGTTTTCTTTTGTACTAATTTTTGCAATTTTTTTGGCTTCTGTTTCTAGGTCTAGATTTTAAATTGGGCTTTATGGCTGCTTTAGAGAATATAATTTTCCCTTTTATTTGTTAATGTTTTTTACCTCAGAAAGCATTTGTGATTCATTGGGTGCGATTAGATCAATATTCTTCAGTGGATGAGGCCTATAATGATGGCATGAAACGGTTGGAAAGTTTAGTATCTAGAGTGCATGATATTGATCCGTGAGTGATTGTTTTCTTAATGATTCCACACTTTTCATTTAATATCTTTTTTTCCCTACAGTTGAGTTTTAGTTTTTCTGACTAAATTATCAATTTCAGTCCAAAGCTGCCTGCAGGTGCAATAAAGTTGTATACTCGTCTTTTTGGCCCTAAGTTGGAGATCTCAAGCATGACAAGTGAGGTGTACAAGGAAGCTGTGTTGCAGGCTAAAGAGCATATTCTGGCTGGTGATATTTTCCAGATTGTATTAAGTCAGCGTTTTGAACGGAGAACATTTGCTGACCCATTTGAAATATACAGAGCACTGAGAATTGTTAATCCGAGCCCATACATGACGTATTTGCAGGTTTTGCCTCCTTATCCTGGTTGTGATATGCTTGCCTAATGTTGAAATTCTAAACTTTTGTACGCACTTTTCTTCTGATCAGGCTAGAGGGTGCATACTTGTTGCTTCCAGTCCGGAAATTCTTACACATGTGAAGAAGGTAACTGTTACACTAATCCAAAAAATGATTAGATTGGTGTATTTTGATGCATATTATGTTTAAATTATAATTTCTTCCTATCTTCTTGTTTTCTGCCAGATTATGAGTACTACTGAGATTCCCCGTTCCCTTGCCCCTTGTTTCCCGATTGTCAAACATGTTATCACGTTGAATTGCTGTAACTGACAATCAGCAATTTTATCCTTATACTTTGTTGACAGGGAAAGGTTACTAATCGCCCACTTGCTGGGACCATTAGAAGAGGGAAGACACCTAAGGAAGATTTAATGTTGGAAAAAGAACTTTTGGCCGATGAAAAGCAGTGTGCAGAGCACATCATGCTAGTTGACTTGGGAAGGAATGATGTTGGGAAGGTGTATTTTTCTTTTATTGACCTCTGTTAATTTTCATTCAGTTTGTGCAGAATGTCTAATGTATGGTTTACCTGTGCCATGCTGATCATTCACTTGCGCAATTGCATTGGCAAATATACAATATTGCTGCTTTTTTAAGATGTTATTTTTTTTTGAATAATTGCATGGAGACAATCATGTTGACAATGTACACTGTTGGATCTCTGATGATATTCTCTACTCGTAATTTGCCTGTGAATCTGTACTTAAAATGGGTTGTTCATGCAGGTTTCCAAGCCGGGATCTGTTAAGGTTGAAAAGCTGATGAATATTGAACGATATTCCCATGTTATGCACATCAGCTCAACGGTATTCTCCCCTTTGTAGACATTATGCGTAGCTCTGATGGAGGGAGATGTAAGCTTTAAGCTTATATTCTTCCATTATATAAGCTGCTCTCTGATGCGTGCTTTTGATCTTCTTCATGATGAGAAAGTTGTACTTGAAATCTGCAGGTCACGGGGGAGTTACTTAACGGTTTAAGTAGCTGGGATGCTTTGCGTGCAGCACTGCCGGTTGGAACTGTTAGTGGAGCACCAAAGGTCTTCCTTGTCACCATCTCTAGTAATGGTTTTCTTTTTACTGGTTTATAATAGTTTTGAAATTTAACAAAGTCCACATGATATGAAACTCTAACCTGTGGATTTCTTCTAATTCTACCAGAATGATCAAATACTCTTGCTTCCTGCTAGTATATAGGGTTGACATATTTGGTGGTTTCTGATTTTCCATAGTGCTGCAATACAGGTGAAAGCAATGGAGTTGATTGATCAGCTAGAAGTCACGAGGCGAGGGCCATATAGCGGTGGGTTTGGAGGCATTTCATTTTCTGGTGATATGGATATTGCCCTTGCACTAAGAACCATCGTTTTCCCATCTACCACTCGTTATGACACCATGTATTCATACAAGGATGTCAACAAGCGTCGAGAATGGGTTGCTCACCTCCAAGCAGGTGCAGGAATTGTGGCTGACAGTGTCCCTGCTGATGAACAGAGAGAGTGTGAGAACAAAGCCGCCGCTCTTGCCCGTGCCATCGATCTTGCGGAGTCTTCATTTGTCGACAAATAAGTAATCTCTTTGTCCTTAAGTTGCTACTAAAATGAAGCACTCAGGCAGGCAACCCATGGTCGCTGGTTTTTTAAAACAGAGAAGAATGTGGATCTCCTTGTTCTTTGGTACATGTGAAATGCACAAATAGATGAGAACCCTTTTTTCTTATTCCCTTTTTACCCCCAAAGAAACTTGATATGGAGTTCTTTTTCAATGATTCGGATGTGAAAGAAAAAACAGTTTGTTCTTATCTCATCGGCCAGTCCAGTTCTGTCTATATATATATATATACAGATATATATATATATATTTAGATATTACCGAAGGGCTCATACCCCTAACACAATCTCCCTCGCCAGTTATTTTAATTACTTGTCTGGATCATACACAATCATGAAGATTGAGATATGATGCCTACCTCTGAGTTCGATTTATAGCTGGCTTCGAATAAAATTTACAAAAAATGTTTCAAATTGAATGATCTTCATCGCAATCACAAGGGACCTGGCCGCATTTTGCAGAGCATCAGAGAAAGGACAATTCAAGGCGATGACAAAGGCCTAATATTTTAAGATAAGGTAAAAGCAACAGTTAACACATGATTTGCCACGTGAAAAGGCATTTATCTGAACACATACGTTTTCTTTGAAGACAAGCCAAACCCAAACTTATTTAAATCCCTCACCCCAAAAGCATCACTTATCTGTTTCTCCTGGCTCACACCAATCTTTCTTTCTTCTACTATTCTGTAATAAAGTCTCCATCAACATAAGGTAACTTGTCTCAACTTCTTTCCTCCTTTATTCAATTTTATCTGTCTTGCTACATAGATGCAAAAGAGATTGTGCTCAGGGTGGTGCTATGAAGGGCTTGCAACAGTTTCTGGGTGTCTCCGGATTATCTATGCATCAATTGGATTGTCATCTTTCTCAATTGTTGACTCCATCTACTGAAATGTTCTATACTTTCTGATGACTTTGGTATTTGTTGGATAAAATATTATGATGATGATGATGATGATGATGATGATACAGCTTTCCTGGTGCTATAGATTTTCCAGTGTACTCCACCTTGAATAAATTTAAGGATGCTGTTTGGTCGTTGTAGTCAAAGAACCATGGATATAGCTTACCTGTATTTGTGATGCATCTGTTTTCTGTTTGGGTGGTTGCAAAATCTACCTATTGCTTTGGAGTTGGATGGTTTATTTATTGATTTAGGAGAAGACTATCCCAGGTGTTTCGTACATTGGTTGTGGTTTTGTTATTTGTTTTTCACTATTTACCTTTTGCTTTTTATTAATATTTTATGTTTTGCTCTTTGCAAAAGTACCAGACAAACGAAACTTTAATTCTTAGTATGCCTGACTTAGAATTTTGTGGGATTTGCCTGATTCTCTTTCGGTTTGTTTCACTGCATTTGTTGTTATCGACATACCTTTTCTGTTATTTATAGATACAAACTATGGGTTTTAATGGTAAGTTGTGTGTGGAAAAGAAAGTTTTACAAATTCCAAGTAATCTTTAATAATTTCAAGTCTTGATGAAAATTTTTAAAATTTCAAAAAAAGAAAAAAATGATGTAAGTTTGCTTTCTATCCAGGGGAGTGATTGAAATTAGCATTCAGCGATAAGCAGTTGGTGAATCGAGGTCAAACGTCCAGCCCAATTCCAGCTATGGCTACAATCAAGTTGTATATAGTGTGAGTATTGATTTCTCAACCAATGTGCAACAACAGTACACTTCTTTAGTACTTCAAATTGGCTGCAACTTTCTCCTATATTTTCCCGTCCCTGAATTATGACCTTGGATGTTAATTCTTCGCTGCCTTGGATAGGTATTATTCGTTATATGGTCATGTCGAGACAATGGCAAGGGAAGTGCAACGAGGGGCTAATGCAGTTCAAGGTGTTGAAGCAACACTTTGGCAGGTAGTTTTATTATGGTATGAATCCCTAATTATCCCTTAAAGAAAGAAAGGCCTTGTGACGTTATGAAGTTAGACTTGGTTGCATTCAACAGGTTCCTGAGACACTATCCAGTGTAATACTGCAAAAGATGAAGGCACCTGGGAAAGCAAATGATGTACCGGAGATTAGGCCTGAACAGCTTATCGATGCTGATGGTTTTCTCTTTGGATTTCCTTCTCGTTTTGGTGTGATGGCAGCTCAGTTTAAGGCCTTTTTTGATGCTACTCATGAGCTGTGGGAACGCCAAGCACTTGCCGGCAAGCCTGCTGGTATCTTCTGGAGTACTGGTTTCCATGGGGGAGGCCAGGAGCTTACTGCGTAAGCCCCTTCTTATCCACTTTATAATATGTTCTCAGAACTATATCAGTTCACGCCATAAAAACTTGTAGGAAGATTTTCCAAGCTCTTGGTAGCAAAATACCTACCCGAAAGCAACTTGAACTGTTTTGCTTGATAAAATTTGATCTGCACAATTGTGTTTATGACTCTGTTTTTTTTCTCTCTGTTCCTCTTGATTTGCAGATTAACTGCCATTACACCGTTAGCACATCATGGTATGATATTTGTCCCCCTTGGATACACTTTCGGCAGTGGCATGTTTGAGATGAATGAGGTAAAGGGTGGCTCCTCTTACGGTGCTGGCACTTATGCAGCCGATGGATCCCGTGAACCCTCCGAGCTAGAGCTCCAACAGGCCTTTCACCAAGGTAAATATGTTGCGGAAATAACCAAGAAACTCAAGAACAAGCCCCTCGCTGCATAAAACACAGCTTCAAGAAGCTGTACTGTAGAATCTGACAGTGCGAAAGACAACTTGAAAGACTATCTCCACACCACCAAACAAACAAAGACAAATAAACTCTGATGGTCATTGGCAAAGAGGAGGATGGATCTTTTGCAACTTGATTAAATATGATTCTCGCACTGTGCTCTGGCCACTTGTCAGCTTGCATTCTATTATTTATCCAGCATCGAGTTTTCTTCTGGTTTGATTGTTTCAATCCTCTTTGGGTTCAATTTGTCAATTAGCAACCCTGCCAAGAAGCTGCCATACCTGCTGCCTGCAATGTAAGAGTACCCAGCCTCATCAAGTTTTCTGATCAATCCTTCACTTTGCCATCTCTCAGCCATGAGCATCTTTCTGCCATGTTTAATAAATTATCCAAGAAATTGAACTAGTGGGTGGAATATCATGGTGTATCTAATCTTCACTCCATATTCCATCCGACAAACTTAGAGATATTAATCCTTTTGGTTGTACATTATTGTTGGCTCAACTATTAATTAACTTCTCCTCCTATGAATTACTAACATCCTTAATTATTTATTCTCAAAACAGAAATATTCTTGTTATATAGACATAAAGATACGTCTTTCCCAAATTTCAGACATAGGGATCAACTTGTTTAAAGTTTTGTTATTCACCGATCTCAACGACGTCGTTTTAGGGGAAGCTAAAGGAATGTCCAACCCCAGTCTAAACGGCCGAAGGTTTTCGCAGTACAAATACAAATTAATCAATTACTTTCCCAAACGCCATTTATTTCTCTCTCTCTCTCTCTCTCTAAAACGAAATGGAGAATCTATGGCGAGCTGCTACGGGTCAGGACCCCAATCCGGATGACTACAGAGGCGTTGAGTTCTGGACCGACCCCGAACGAGCCGGTTGGCTAACCAAGCAAGGGGATTACATCAAGACCTGGCGCCGCCGCTGGTTTGTGCTGAAGCAAGGCAAGCTGTTATGGTTCAAGAACCCCGTTTCCGTCACCCGCGGCTCCATTCCACGTGGCGTGGTATCGGTGGGCGGTTGTCTCACAGTCAAAGGAGCTGAGGATGTCGTGAACAAGGCCTTCGCTTTCGAGCTCTCCACTCGAGATTCCACCATGTATTTTGTCGCGGATACGGAGAAAGAGAAAGAGGATTGGATCAATTCGATCGGGCGGTCCATCGTCCAACACTCGCGGTCCGTTACTGATTCCGAGGTCGTCGATTACGATAGCAAGAGCCGGTGATCTTTGCTGAATTTTCTTTTCATTCTAATTTTTCCCTTTTTTTTTGTGTTATATAAATTTAGCTTTTGTATAAATAAAAATCTAATAGTAGCTTTTGCTTGAATCTTCTTGTGCTTTTATCTCAGTATGATAATAACATTTGAATTCCCCAATTTGATTGCAATTTGGGCTTCGTAAATTTTATTGCAAATAGGTAAAGATAAGCCTAAATTGTTTGACACACAAGTCATGAGTTTGGGTAGAAGAAAGAACTGAACTCCAGTCTAGAGACGTGCTCACCTTTGTGTCCCAATTCGGGCGCCCAGGAATTTGTCCCTGATGAAATGCAATTCCTTGGCCGCATCGACGACGTCCCTGCGATCTTTGGGTGATTCAACAGAACAAGCAATTGCAACTCTCAGGATGGAAAACAGGCACTCTTTCATTTTGGTTCATGTTGCCGCTTGTTGTTGCGTCTGTTCCAATGCCATACTCTGCTAAAATAGGAATTATTTACAGTTCTAAGGTGAAGAGTATTAATAATCCAGATTCTATTCCACATAAGCTAAGGGGTTGTTATTAATAGGAAAGAAAAAGGGAAACTTGCAGTAATAGCCAATGCTAAGACCCAGCCATGATTGGAAAGGAAAATATACATTTAAAGAAGTGGATAAATTTACCTGGTGCAGCATAACCAACAGTTCCCTTTAGATCGAGAGTGGTGGTGGAATATCCGGAAAGTTTGTTCATGGATTTTGGAAAAAACCTGGCTAATCCAAAATCTCCTAAGTGGGCGACCATGTCACGGTCAAGAAGAATGTTGCTTGGCTTCAAATCACATTGAACTACAGGCACGTTACAGTGATGATAGAGGTAATCAAGTACAGAGGCCACATCAATCGCGATGTTTAATCTTTCCAAAAAGTTGAAGATCTTTGACTCTCCATTTGCGAGGGTGTTTGCTTCAGTTGGTGGATGCAGCCATCCTTCCAGGCTCCCATTTGGCATGAATTGGTCTTCGATTTGAAAGCATTGCCTTGAAAATCAACGCTGGAACAAGCAGATATTATCTTGACAAGGTTACGGCGCTTAAGATTTCTCAATGTTTTACATTCTACAATAAAACTCATGGAAGCTCTTGTTTCTTGAAGGTTCATCACTTTCACTGGAATAACTTTTTGCTCTTGATTCTGATTAAACATTCCTTGATACATGGATCCAAAACTTCCTCGGCCACTCAAGTTGGCTGGAGAGAACCCGTTAGTAGCTCTGAGGAGTTGCTGATACGAAATCCTTGAAATGGAAGTTCTCAAGGGGAATACTGATGAAGGCTAGCTCTGATAATACTTTTCTATTACTCCTCAGCCAGTAGAAAAGTAAAGAGAATGACAATGAAAGAAATCCAAGAACCCCATAAACTATCAAGATTATTTTGAGTGAATGAAGTTTTCGACTTCTTCTGCTCGTTAAAGTGGCATAAGGGCAAATGCAGTTCAGCAATACCCCCACAAAGCTTATCATTCACGATCAATGAAGTCGATGCTGCATTACTGAACACTCCTTTTGATGGTACTTTCCCCTCGAAGTGATTAGAAGACAAGTTTAAGTACGTCAAGTAGGGGAAGTTTGCAAGATAGTCAGGAATTTGTCCTGAAAAGTTGTTATGGGAGAGATCTAGCGGTGCAATGCTCCTCAATAAACTCAGAGAGTCGGGGACACTCGCATAAAAATTATTATTTCCTAAATTGAGATTTTCCACGCTTGTACAACCACCAAGGGCACTGGGAACTTGACCAAAGAACTGGTTTACGGATAAATCCAGGTAAACGAGATTCTTCAGGTTGCCTACTTCTGAAGGCAGGGAGCCTCTTAAGGAAATTGTTGGACTAGTCTAGGTAAGTTGAGAGGGTTTGTTAGGCTAAAAATTGATCGGGGAACCACACCAGTAAGTCTATTGTCATTCAATAGCATCAGCATCAGATTTTGGCAATTGCCGAGCCCTCCAGGTATGCCGCCCTCTAACTTGTAATTTAAACTAAGCTTGTTTAGCCGTGTCAAATTTCCCAAAGAGGTTGGGATTCTCCCTGATAATTTATTTTCACCCAAGTCGAGACCTTGCAAATTCTTAAGCTAACCAATGGCATGAGGAATGCGGCCAGTTAGTCGGTTTTCCTCCAAACCTGTTGAAATTAGATTTACGAGATTTGCTATCCCTGAAGGAATGGTACCAGTTAATCTATTAGTACCTAAAGAGATTCCAGTAATCATGGTTGAAAGGTTGGTTAGGGAATTTGGCAGCATCCCTCCAAATTGATTACCAGCTAAACAAAGTGTATCCAGATTGTTACAGTTAGTTAAGGGTGTTACAAAATCTAGATCACCAACTAACCCACTACCTAAATTATTGCTGTCCATATTTACCCATGAAATATTTTTACGCCCAAATCAATTGATACTTTACCTGTGAAAAAGTTGTAGCAACGTCGAGCTCCTCAAGCTTTGAAGCATTGGATAATGACTCCGGTAGAGTCCCAGAGAAATTATCAATCCCAATACAGATTTGTTTAACGTTTAGAACTGTGAAGCCTAAGTCGTCAGAAAGCCTCCGATGGAATTGATTACTTCCTAGACTAAACATCTCTATGGAAGATATGTTATAAATTGAAGAGGGAAGTAAGCCAAAGAAATTATTCTGGTGCAGTGTAAGATTGACTAACCCTCTTAGCTGGCCTAATGTATCAGGAAGTCTCCCTTGCAATCGATTCAGGGCTACAGTAAGATGACGTAGACTTGAAAGGTTCGCAAACGAGGCTGGCAGTTGCTCAGTTAGGACGTTGGTGTCAATTCCTAGTTTCTCTAGCTTCCATAAATTGCCAAACTCCGCTGGGAAATTCCCAACAAGGTTGTTCTGTCCGGCGTTAAAATGGATGAGTTTAGAGCGGGCAATGTTCCCCCAAAGGAATTATTTCGCAAGAGTAAAGTTTCAAGCCGGAAGAGACGACCGATTTCAGGAGGAATTCCACTAGACAAGAGGTTGTGTCGAAGGTCAATGAAATTAAGAAAGCTGAGGTTCCCTCTGTAGGGTGACAAGGAACCTCTCAAGTTTTGGTTCTTTTAAGTACAATTTGGTGACCCTTTCATGCTTACGACCACATGTTATGCCCCTCCATCGGCACAAGGACACACAGTTGTTCCATGAGCTTGTAACTCCAAACGGGTCATGAATTTGAGACTTAATCGCTCTGAAACTGGTCATAGTGATTCCGTTGGTTGAGCTTGGAAAACTACCGGCTAGCAACAAACATATCCACCATTGTAGAATAGCCACTCTGCTGAATGAGAAAAGAGTGCTTCCAATCCGCATGCTGACGGGCAAGCAAGATACTGCCATGTCCCGAGCCGGAAACGCTATAATTGTCATCGAACTGCACCACAAGAAACTGCGGGTGGGGACAAATTCCTTGAATTTCTGTGGCTTGATCGAGTAAAAAAAAGTGCTCAATTCATCCTCTTCACTTGGAGAACTGTATAGTATAGAGTTAGGAGCATGCTGGCCCTAAACAGGAATTATTAATTATCATGAAAGTCTGGGAGGAGCATGCTGGCTATGCACTAACGAGCCTCTGATAATTAATTTTAGTGGAATGCCCAAGTGTGCCAACTCCAACTGGGAAACTACAACCGCTAATAACTTCAATTCAATTTAAGTTTTGTTTTGTGACGTATTGACTTGTAAATTGTGTGGTCATGGAGGTACAAGAAGGTGACAAGGCCTCCCCATGTCCAATGGGTTAACCTAGGCCGAGGAAATCCCCTCCAGGAGTTTTGTGGTCAATCACCAGCAAACATGAAACGCTAATTAGTGCAACTTGTCTGCCACTTCAGTATCAGTTTTTGTCAACTAAGATTGATAATTAAGTAAAGTTAAGTTTCATCGATGTCATTACTATTAATTATTTATTTATTAAGGTAAGTATTTATTAAATTGAATTGAAAATGTTAATAAATGAGATTGATAAGTAATCAATTTCTTTTTTCGGTTGTCTTAAGATTATATATATTTTATATTTTTACTTTTATTTTTTGAACATTGATAACTCTTTTCTTTGATGCTTAATTAATGAATTTTTCAATATCTCATGAAGAAAAGCATTAATAAAGTTGATGTTAATAATTTCTCCATAGTTGGACTTGACCAAGAGTATGGTAGGGTTTTTAGAATTTGTTTAAAAGGAATCCAATGAGTATGGGATTCATGCAACTCTGGTTAGTGACATGAATGAAAAAATTTATATTTGATGCATTGATAATATATATAAATTTTATACATGATTAGTTCATTATAAAATTTCACTTCATTAATAAGTAAAAATAAAAAATTTTAAGATTTTGAAAATAAATATTAAAAAAATTTTAATTTTGAATAAATAAAAATGAAAAAGACTGTGTTCATCTTTTGCTTAGAAGTTAAAGTGAAAAAAATTGAAAATCACTTTTTTATAATTTTTTTTTTTGCAAATGGAGATAAAAAGATTATTTTTTTTGAAAAAAAAAATTAACAAGATTGTAAATTTCAAATTTGTTGATGTACCCAAAAAAATTTTGAACACTTGATTGACATTTTTTTTTAATTTTCTCTTCTCTAATTTTTTTTATTAACTTGAGAGGATATAATAAATTTTGGTTGTAGGGATAGCAAAGGGCAATTATTCAAAATTTCTTTTCTCTTTTTTTTTTCTCTCTTACCAATCATGAGTTACATTTGTTTTTCATTGAAATATTTAAGAAGGTTATTATTAAGGTTGTCATGACTTTTAATTACTTAAGATTGTCATTGAAGATAGGAAATAATATATTGACTCGAAAGCTCCAAAATTCCACCTAAACCACATTAATGTACCTAAAGAAAAAAAAAAGCTACCACATTTTATTTTCATTTTCCATTCTTTTTTTTTAAATCGTGTTTGTGAGTGGAAATTAAGCAAAAAAAAAAAAACACCAAAGAAAAGATTTTTCCGATGTGCATGGGGCATACTCGACTCAAGTCACTACAACTAAGATAAGAAGCTCAGAATACAACCATAGTCACAAATTCAAGCAAATATCTTCAGCAAGTAGGACAGCAATTGCGTTCTGCTATCCTTTCCTTCACAGGTTAGTCGTTATAGTCTCGACTCTGCTCATTCGCCCATTTCACTTTCATATGAGTTGTTGGATCGTTCTGGAAGCACTGCCTTGGTTGGTTTGGTCTCTTCCAGGGTATATTACAACGTTAAGGACGTATCAAATAGTACTACGGTAGGAGAAAGAAAGATCAAACAAGCTGAGAGATGAAGAAAGTAGAGCTCATATTCATTCCAGTACCAAGGACCGGCCACTTGGCCTCAACTACTGAATTTGCGAAGCGCCTGGTCCATCACGATGATCGAATTTGGATTAGTATTCTTTCGATGACGTGGTTTTCACGTGCTTTCGTGGGCGCATGCACCAAATCGCTTGATGCTTCGCGACCTTATCGAATCCAACTCATTGACCTCCCTCAAGTAGATCCTCCTTCCTTTGATCTTTTGAAGTCACCAGAAGGCTACATCTATGCATTCATTGAGACCTACATCCCTCCTGTTAGAAATGCTGTCAGAAATATTGTGTCACTGGATCTAGCTCGGGTTCAGGCCGAGTTGCAGGATTAGTTCTTGATTTGTTTTGTGCGCCGATGATTGATATTGCAACTGAATTGGGTCTTCCTTCTTATATATCCTTAACCTCAAATGCAGCGTTCCTGGGTCTCATGCTGTACCTACCAACCCGACATAGCCAGAACAGCTCAGAATTTGAAATCACGGATCCTGAACAGTTGATCCCAGGATTTGTCAATCCTGTTCCTGTTTGTGTTCTACCTTCACCATTGTTTAACAAGTACGGAGGTTACACGACATATATCAAGGTTGCTGAAAGGTTTAAGGATGCCAAAGGTATCATGGTAAATACGTTTGAAGACATTGAGCTTAGTGCTCTTAACTATTTTCTCAATGGCCCAAACCCTCCAATTTGTCCAGTTGGACCAGTGATTGACCTGAATGCTCTGCCTCAACCTGAGTTGGACCTGGATCAACCCAACAAGGTCATGATATGGCTTGATGATCAACCTCAATCATCAGTGATATTTCTTTGCTTTGGAACCATGGGGAGCTTCAGAGCACCCCAAGTGAAAGAAATAGCACTGGGGCTAGAGCAAAGTGGATACAGATTCTTATGGTCCTTGCGTTTTTCATCACCACTGCAAAGTGATGCCACAAAAATTGACAAGAATACTGAGGAGACGCTACCCGAAGGATTCGTGGAGAGGATCCAAGGTAGAGGGATGATATGTGGATGGGCGCCGCAGGTGGAGGTTCTTGCCAACAAGGCAATAGGAGAATTTGTATAGCATTGTGGTTGGAACTCAATCCTGGAAAGCTTGTGGTTTGGTGTGCCAATTGTAACGTGGCCTATGTATGCTGAACAACAGCTCAATGCGTATCTGATGAAGGAACTCGGATTAGCAGTAGTGATGAGGTTGGATTATAGGTTAGGTACAAGTGATCTTGTGATGGCAGATGAGGTAGAGAAAGCTGTTCGGCTGGTTATGGATGGTGGCAGTGAGGTGAGAAAGAAAGCGAAAGAAATGGCAGAGATGGCTACAAAGTCTGTTATGAAAGATGGATCCTCATTCATTTCAATGGGAAGATTGATAGAGGATATGATAGGCAGCAACTGACATTTTGCCTACTTATGGTTCTACTTGTATATCAGTTTATTCTCTATTGTTTAAGAAAAGAAGGCTTAAACTTACATTTCTCCTGTTTATAACGCATTCTGTCCTGATCCCAATGAGCAGCAGTAGTCATTTCTGCTAATCAGCTTATTGGCTTTTATGCAAGTACAAACTACTGTTCAATTCGATCCCTATGCCTCTTTATAATGTTTCTTTCGTTTCACTTTGTTAAACAATAAATTTTCTAAGCATTGTTTGGTTTCCACCAGAGAAAGCATGGAAAAACTTGATTTATTTAAAACTAATATTTTCTATACAGGTGAAAGAGTAAGTGTAACGAGAATATTATATGATTGAGTGGGAAAAAATACCATAAATCTCACGTTAATTAAAAATGATAAAGATTTTAAATTTATAAATAATAATCTTCCTCTATCTAATTAGTATATTTTGAATTAAAAATGTGAGCTTGTAACATATGTAGTACACTTTCTTAGAATTAGAACATTTCAATAATAATATTTTGTATAATATATATATGTTAACTTTTTAACATTAAAAATTATATAATTTGTCAATGTTGTAAAAAAAATTTTAAAAAATAATAAAATTAAAGTATTCTTCTCTTACTTTTTTTTTTCTCTCTCAACAAGCATAAGTTTCACTTGCTTTTCATTGAAATATTTAAGAAGGTTGTTATTAAGGTTGTCATGTTTTTAATTAATTAAGATTGTCATTGAGATAGGAAATAATATTCCATCCTTAATCTTATGGAAGTCCTTGTTATAACCATTATTTCTATCACTAGTAGCTAAACTCAAACGCTCCAAAATTCCACCTAGACCACATTAATGTACTCAAAGAAAAAAAAAACACATTTTATGTATATACAATATGATATGCTCTTCATAAAGAGGAAGAATCTACTTAATTACATTAAAATAGTATAAAAAATACTGGTGTAACTAAAATTAATTTTAAGTCTATTTATAATAGTTGACGTGCATTTGTTAAATGGTTTATATTTGATATACCGCTATTATGTAATATTTATATACTAACACTTAATGATTTTTTTTAAAGTACACCTAACACTTGATTATAACATGTCATTTTATAATAATAAAAAAATTCAAAAAAAAATTATAATAAATTTATTTTAAATTATGAATATTAAGTTATTGTTCACAAGTTTCAACGTTTAAATTTATTTATTACTATTTACTTGATAAATATATAAGTACCATATATTAACAGTATCTTAAATACAAACTCATATACTAAAATTAGTGATTGATTTTAAATAATTTTGACTTTTCTACTTTTTTATGTTTTTATTTTAAATAATGATTGATTTTTCATTTTTCATTTTTAAAATAAACATTTTTAGACTTGTCTGATATCAACACAAACACACACAAAATCCAATGATTTACAAGGTCGGGCAAATTTTTTACAAATTTATTTTAATAGACATCTAAATATATTAATTAAAAAGATTAATACATTAATAATCAAAATCGAGTATTTACACACTCTAATATTCGCTGGTGCATAATAACCGTCCTGCCATTACTAATTATACTGATGTGAACACTGTGCCACTGCTCAAACATGAATTTCTATTACCCCATGTTTTTTATGATAACTTGATTAGTTCACCTAATTTAGTATTGTTAGAAGCTTGTCTTGATTGAGATTGAACAGTCCCAAGACTACGAAATCTAGAAGTACTGCCCCGCCTTTTTATATGTCAGCAAAGGCCAATCACTCCCCTAAACTTCTAACATGTTTTTGAGATAAAAATGTTGATGTAAATGGGGTTTTGTTGAAATTAAAAAAGAATCAATAAAATTAATTTTAAGGTATGATTTATAATAAGCATTATCCTTTAAGGCATATTTTATCTTCACCACTCGTTATGTTAACCAGAATTATACGATAATTTTAAGATATAATGAAATCAATATTTAATTTTATTTTGTATTTATAAAAATAGACTGTTAGACACACTTAAAAGTTGTAAAGTTATTTAACATTCTTTTGAAAAAATAATGGGAAATGTATTTATTTTTTAAATTTTACTCAAAACATAATATTTCGTTTACTCTTATCTTGTATGTTTGGTGTGTTAAAATGATTGGCTATGTCCAATCCAAACTAAACCATTGCCCGGTGGCCATCCCTCAATTCCTACTGTCCTAACTCTGCTCTAGCTCTAGGACAAAGGGGAAGACTTTAAGTCCTCTATATAGAGTTTTGAGTGTCTTTTATTTAAGAGTACAATCATTTCATTAAGACACTTCTATTTAAACACTTTTACAAGACATAAATTTTAGACAAATATATAATTCAAATAATTATTTTATAAAAAGATAATCATTAGTATGATATAATTTTTGAGTTATAATATAAAAAGATAATTTTTTATATATAAAATTTTAAATATTGATATTTTTTAATTATCTAGTAATTTTTGAATTTAAAAATATTTTTTAACATGTCACTTTATTATGAGACATAACTTTTTATTTAAAAAATCAATTACAATTTAATAATTATAATATTTAACATAACCTTTCAATTGAAAAAACTTTTCAATAACAACAACTTTGTATATGAAAAACGCAATTTTTCATTTACAACTTTACATGTAAAGATATATAATTTTTTTATTTTAAAAATACGTCTACAGATATTAATATCTATGGGAGTTATTTCAACCTCAGTTGAAAGGCAGGTAGATGATGAAAATGACATCTCTGCTAAAATATCAATGCCTACATATCTGATTCAAACCTTACTTTTCCTATGTATGCTTTCCTTAAATGACATCACGCAGACTTAAGGAAACTTATTCTCGTATTTTTCTAGTATTTGTTGAGATATATATATATATATATATATATATTCTATTTCTTTAGGAATATTATTTTTCTTATTAGCCACTCAGAGGGTGGACATGTACAGTAAGAGAAAAAGCAAGGAATGCATACAAAAGGATCATAATCCTCCACTCACCAAGAAAAAAATTGACGACATCAGAAACCGGTTACCTACGTGGGAAATACTTAAAAGTTTCCACTACAGCTAAGATAAGACGCTTATAATACAATAATCGTCACAAAATAAAGCAAAGATCTTTACCAAGCTGCACAGCGAGTTGGTTCTGCTATCCTTATCCTTAAAGTGCAGTCATAGTAGTCTCACAAGCGAGTTGGATTTGTGCTTGAAGCACTGCTATGGTTGGTCTGGTCCCTTCCAGGGTACAATACAACATAAAGACAGATTCAATAGGACTGCAGGCCGAGAAAGGAAGATCAAACGAGCTGATAGATGAAGAAAGTAGAGCTCATATTCATTCCAACACCGGGAATCGGCCACTTGGCCTCAACTATTGAATTTGCGAAGCGCCTGATCCATCACGATGATCGAATTTGGATTACTGTTCTTTCGATGACGTGGTCTTCACGTGCTTTCGTGGATGCATACACCAAATCGCTTGATGCTTCGCGACCTGATCGAATCCAACTCATTGACCTCCCTCAAGTAGATCCTCCTTCCTTAGATCTTCGGAAGTCGACAGAAAACTACATCTTGCGTTCATTGAGAGGTACATCCCTCCTGTTAGAGATGCTGTCAGAAATATTGTGTCACTGAGATCTAGCTCGGATTCGGGCCGAGTTGCAGGATTAGTTCTTGATTTCTTTTGCGCGCCCATGATTGATATTGCAACTGAATTGGGTCTTCCTTCTTATATATACTTAACAACAAATACGGCGTTCCTGGGTCTCATGCTGTACCTACCAACCCGGCATAGCCAGAACAGCTCAGAATTTGAAATCACGGATTCTGAACAGTTGATCCCAGGATTTGTCAATCCTGTTCCCCTTTGTGTTCTGCCCTCAGCTGTGTTTAACAAGTATGGAGGTTACAGCGCATACGTCAAGGTTGCTGAAAGGTTTAAGGATGCCAAAGGTATCATGGTAAATACGTTTGAAGCGATTGAGCCTTGTGCTCTTAACTATTTTCTCAATGGCCCAAACCCTCCAATTTATCCAGTTGGACCGGTAGTTGACCTCAATCCTCTACCTCACCCTGAGTTGGACCTGGATAAACGCAACAAGGTCATGACATGGCTTGATGATCAACCTCATTCATCAGTGATATTTCTTTGTTTTGGAAGCATGGGGAGCTTCAGAGCACCCCAAGCCAAAGAAATAGCACTTGGGCTAGAACAGAGTGGGTACAGATTCTTATGGTCCTTGCGTATGCCACCACCAACACAAAATGATGCCACATTAATTTACAAGAATCCCGAGGAAATGTTACCAGAAGGATTCCTGGAAAGGATCCAAGGGAGAGGGATGATATGTCAGTGGGCGCCGCAGGTGGAGGTTCTTGCCAGTAAGGCAATAGGAGGGTTTGTATCTCATTGTGGTTGGAACTCAATCCTGGAAAGCTTGTGGTTTGGTGTGCCAATTGTAACATGGCCAATGTATGCTGAACAACAGCTCAATGCGTATCTGATGAAGGAACTCGGATTAGCAGTAGTGATGAGGTTGGATTATAGGAGAGGTACAAGTGATCTTGTGATGGCAGATGAGATAGAGAAAGCTATTCAGCTGGTTATGGATGGTGATAGTGAGGTGAGAAAGAAAGTGAAAGAAACGGCAGAGATGGCTAGAAAGGCCGTTATGAAAGGTGGATCCTCTTTCATTTCAATTGGAAGATTGATAGAGGATATGATAGGCAGCGACTGACATTTTGGCCACTTATGGTTCTACTGGTATAGCAGTTTGTTCTCTATTGTTTAAGAAAAGAGGGCTTAAAACTTACTATTCTCCTCTTTATAACTCATTTTGTTTTGAATCCCAATGAGCATCTGTAGCCATTCCTGCTAATCTGCTTATGCTTGTTGATTTAAGTACGAACTACTTTTCAATTATCTGATCCCTATGCCTTTTTATAATGCTTCTTTCATTTCATTACGTTAAACAATTAAGTTTCTAAGCATTGTTTGGTTTTTACCAAGGAGAGATTGCTCAAAAAAGATATAAAAGCATGTGCCAACTGAATTTGTTTAGCACTAATATTGTTATTTTCATTCATTACAATTAACCTTTATGGTTTATAGCTCATCAAGACAACCACTTTCATATGGCACCAAAGAATCAATACCTTCAAAATTTTATTGAAACCAGGAATAATGCAGAAAAGTAGGCATATGGCTGTTGTAATGCGGCCTCTGTTTTGGGTATGGCAAACAGGCAAGAACAGAGGCTTGTGGTGATTATGGTGACAACCATACTATTCCCTTCGTAATAATTGAATTTATACATTATGAACAACATTTTTAGGATTAAAACACTTGTTCCAGAAGCTAATACAGGTGTAAAACCAGATCACATAATAAGCATGCAGTGCACCACGTTGAGCTATTTCAAATGTGTTTAAACATGCACCAAGATGCATGGTATCCAAGTGGATAGACCTGTGGCATTCATCCCACTGGGCACATGCAAGAATTAGAGTCAACAGAAAATGCCCTAAATCCGTTGGTATCAATATCTTTAGGCGAAATAGGCAAAGAGATATTATCGCCATAGATCAGTATTACATTTAATAACAAGTTTGATTTTTTTTTATTTGGAATAGGGGTATCAAACCAGGGTTAGGTAAGATACTGCAACGTTTCAACCACTGCTTAAATAATTGCCAGAAATTCATCAAATGACAACACACAGAGCTAGGCAAATCAATTACGTGTTGTCAGATCATTTTCCTTTTCTTTTTGTCTTTTTCGAGTCACCAACCTTCTTTGTTATAGTTTTGATGTAACATCCATATGCTGAGGTATGTGTGTTGTCATTTTGGTCCATCCAGGAAGAAAGCTGACATTTGAGACAGCAGAGGTTATATTGATTCCAGCACCTGGATGGAATTGCCCTTCACTTCTACTGTCAATGCATACACCATATCACTCAATGAATCGCAACCTGATGGAATCAAACTCATTGACCTCCATCAAAGTAGAACCTCTTTCCATCCTCCGGAGCCTACTACATCTCTGCTGTTGTTGAGTGCCACATTCCTCTTGTAAAAAACCGTCATCACAGATAGTGTTATAGCAATCCGGTTCAGATTCACAAAAGAGAGCCAAAACACTATGCGTATATGAAGACAATTAATCAACTAGAAAAAGAAAGAAAAAGGAAGACACCTTATTTACTTTTAATTAATAATACATGATAATATTTGGACAATTAGCTAATTTTTGTTTAGATTGGGGAGCCTAATCATGTCAGATGCGTCATTACCAAGATAATTCCTCACTGCTACAACATCTTTCAACCCCATTCTCTCACTTGGAGATTCAATTGAACAGAGAACTCTCATTGTTCCAACAGCAAGCAGGCTCTCCTGATTACTAATTCTCCTACTTGGCGCAACTCCAACATTTTGTTAGCAGCAAGAACTTGATCATCCAGCTCCCTTTCAGGTAATGATGTCTTGACAAATTTTCTTATCGAATCAAAGAGTTTGTACTGCGTATCTTGCGCATTTCCTTCCCATTTTCCTTTTTTCAAAAAGGGTAATCTTCGTTTGGAGAACTACCTAGAGTATCTAAATGGGCTTCGGCCCGTCTTCTCCAAGCCTCCTCATAAACAAACAGGCCTATTTTTAAGTAGATAAGCCTAGCCGATGAAGATCCCCACAAATGAAGCATGGAAACTCTAGGCACCCCTCTCCTCTCTCGTCCACGTCATCCAACTTCCATAACGCTCAATAACGACCATGACGACCCAGTTTTTTCACGTATCAACCAATGCACCAATTTAAACCAACTCAAGCAGATCCATGCCCAAATGCTCCGTACAGGCCTTGTCTTTAACCCATACTCCGCTAGCAAACTCTTTGCAGCATCTGCTCTGTCGCCTTTTTCGAGCTTGGACTATGCTCGTAAAGTGTTCGATCAAATTCCCGAGCCGAATCTCTACACCTGGAATACCCTCATTCGTATTTATGCTTCGAGCCCTGAACCCCTCCAAGGAATTTTGATCTTTCTAAGAATGGTTGATGAGAGTGCTTATTACCCCAATAAATTCACTTTTCCTTTCGTAATCAAGGCTGCTGCAGAGATTCTTAGTGTATGCGTTGGGCAAGCTCTTCATGGGATGGTGATTAAGGCCTCGCTTGGAGCCGATGTGTTTATTTCGAATTCCTTGATACATTTGTATTTGTCATGTGGGGATTTGGATTCGGCTTATAGGGTGTTTATGATGATTGGTGAAAAAGATGTTGTATCTTGGAATTCGATGATCACTGGTTTGGCACAAAAGGGTTGTGCTGAAATGGCTTTGGAGCTGTTTAGAAGAATGGATGCAGAGAGTGTGAAGCCGAATGATGTGACAATGGTGGGTGTTTTATCGGCTTGCACAAAGAAGTTGGACTTGGAGTTTGGGAGATGGGTGTGTTTGTATATTGAAAGGAATGGGATAAGTGTGAACTTGACTTTGAGTAATGCGATGCTTGATATGTATACAAAATGTGGGAGTCTTGAAGATGCAAAAAGATTGTTTGATATGATGGAGGAGAAGGATATTGTCACGTGGACAACTATGCTTGCTGGTTATGCTAAATTAGGAGAGTATGAGGCAGCAAGGCAAGTTCTTGATACCATGCCACGGCAAGATATTGCTGCATGGAATGCCCTTATTTCTGGCTATGAACAGAATGGGAAGCCAAAGGAGGCTCTGGCCATATATCATGAGTTGAAACTGAGCAAGATTGCTAAACCTGATGAGATCACTCTTGTTAGCACTCTATCAGCTTGTGCTCAATTAGGAGCAATGGATATAGGTAGGGGTATCCATGCCTACATAAAAGAGCAGGGGATTCAGTTAAATTGTCATCTTACAACCTCACTCATTGATATGTATTCCAAATGTGGAGATGTAAATAAGGCACTCGAGGCATTTTATTCTGTGGAGAGGAGGGATGTATTTGTTTGGAGTGCCATGATTGCTGGTTTGGCGATGCATGGACACGGGAGAGATGCAATAGATTTGTTCTCTAGAATGCAAGAAACCACGATCAAGCCCAATTCTGTGACTTTTACCAATGTGTTATGTGCTTGTAGCCATGCAGGGTTGGTGAAGGAGGGAAAAACCTTCCTAAATCAGATGGAACCAGTTTATGGGATTCCACCTGAGGTCCAGCATTATTCTTGCATGGTTGATATACTAGGTCGTGCCGGGCTTTTGGAAGAAGCCATTGAATTTATTGAGAAAATGCCGATAGTTCCCAGTGATTCTGTCTGGGGGGCTGTTCTTGGAGCTTGTCAAATTCATGGAAATGTTGAGCTTGCTGAAAAGGCTTGCAGCCGTTTGCTTGAGTTGGATCCTGGAAACCATGGAGCATATGTTCTTTTATCTAATGTGTATGCCAAAACTGGGAAATGGGATAGTGTTTCTAGATTAAGGAAGCACATGAGAGTAACTGGACTAAAGAAAGAACAAGGTTGTAGCACAATTGAGGTCAATGGAGTTGTACATGAGTTTCTGGCGGGAGATAATCGCCATCCACTTTCCAAGGAAATTTACTCAAAATTGGATGAGATTTTGGTGAGATTAAAATCAGATGGTTATGTACCCAAAAAGTCCCACCTTCTGCAACTTATTGAAGAGGACGACCTGCAGGAACATGCCCTTAACCTTCATAGTGAGAAGTTAGCAATTGCCTTCGGATTACTTTACATGGAAGCATCTCAGCCGATCCGAATCATAAAAAATCTTCGTGTTTGTGGGGACTGTCACTCAGCTGCTAAGCTTGTATCCAGGCTTTATAATAGAGAGTTAATACTAAGAGATCGGTATCGATTCCATCACTTTAGTGGAGGACATTGTTCATGTAAGGATTATTGGTGAATGTCATGAAAAACGACATTTACTAGAAATTTCTCATCAAACTCTAACCTGACTTGTTAGTTTCATCACTGCTAAGTGCTAACTAATTTCTGCCATATATAGATTCCCAGGAATTTCAAGTTTAGAATTCACATGTTCCTGTTTCTTGCATTAATTTACAGTTTAAGGTTGAGGTACCTACTTATTGTTCATATTTTATCTTTGTACCAACACTTGATCATGCATCTGCCCTGTTTATTTTTCCAATGTTAACCTGGTAATTGATGTCGGAAAAGAAATTTTCAAGTCTTGATAGAGGAAAAAGGAAAAGTGCATAAGAGAAAATGAAAGAAACAAATTGTCACCTTATATAAAGACCAAATTCTTATACTTCATTCTGACTAGCCGGTGTCGATTCGTGGCTATCTCTGTAATTTGGAGCAGTAAAAAGACTGTTCATGTGAAATTTCAGCTGCAAATGAAAGGAGTTCTCATTCGGTGAACAATTTCTCTTGGTGGCAATGATTCTATTCTTGGTCTACGTGGGATCCTTCGAGCGCCATACCGCTAACATGGTCAGATGGGCACTAATGGATGGTTGAAATGGTAAGAAAGAGACTCTTGAAGACTCCGCAAAACGTTGAAAAAGATTTAAAATTGTGAAAATATGATGCAAATTTGTGAACTCTGATTAGGATGTGCGTGTGCCTACTGACTTGTCTAAGAGGCAAAATTTTAACTAATTTGAAGAGTGTCAGGCTATCTGAATCTAAAAACATTGGCTATGCAGAAGACAAACCATCCAAACTCCAAAGAACTACTAGAACCTTATCAAACGAAAACCAAAAGATTGATGAAGAGACGTTGGGTTGTGAGAAGGTCCTGTCCTAGTACCCGCGTTACTACCACTAAAAGTGGCAGCTGCTGAGTAGAAATCACTTCCAATGAGTTAGAGGAACCTATCATTCCTGACAATTCCATAAGAATTGCAGCTGAAGACCACAACATGCCTAGAGCTACTTCTTAATTCCAACCCATTTGCTTTGAACGTGAATTACGTGCAATGTCTTATGGTGTGCTGTTTTGCTTCAGTCTCCTTGGATGCCCCAATCAACGAGACAAGAAACCTCTTCCCGAATATAACTCATGGATGCAGAACTAAGCGCCCACAAACCATGTTGCACAAAAGCAGGAAAGGGAAGAAACGTAAGACATTAAGTCAACCATGATGAACCTGATCTTAGGCTATACATGTAAAAACTGCTCTAAAACATCATCGAGAATTGCATTAACAATTAAACAGTAGACAGATCATCTTCATAAGAAAAAATTTGTGTATTACCCCTGAACAACTCCCCATATTTATGATGAATACAGAAACTTCAAACAAAGCTCAGGATACAGCTAGGCCAAATTAAGTAGACCATGGTTTTTAAATATGAGTGATGCTACAAGTAAACATCAACCACAGAGCTCCTCTCTGCATATATAAAAATTTTATCTATCTGACTTAATGCCCACGATCATCCTTTTCTCCACGGTGACGGGAGGAAGAATCCCTGTTATAGGCTGACCATTTCTCCCCACCTCTCTTATCATAATTTTCTCTTAAATGAGATTCTGATTCATTCCTTGCTAATTTTTTTTCTTCTCTCCTGTCATGATCTCCATTAGATCTTGGCTCATACTTGTCATCAACATCCCTCTTTGATCTCTTTTCGCCCTTCCTATAACGATCTTCACTTAACCTTGCCCCATATGCATCATCACCATGCCTTATTGACCTCTTTTCATCCCTCCTATAACGATCTTCTCCTGACCTTGGCTCAAAGTCACTATCATTGTGCCTTCTAGATCTTTTTTCTTCCCTTCTATACCGATCATCTCTCGAATTAGGCTCAAATTCATTGTCATTGTGCCGTGTTGATCTCTTTTCCTCTCTATGATCATAATCTTCTCTTGATGTTGGTCCAACATCTTTATCATCGTACCTTCTAGATCTCTTTCCTTCCCTCCCATCACTTTTCTCTAAGGCCTTCTCATTACCCCTTGCTGGTTTAGAACCTTCTTGAACTGCATGCCCTTGCATGCCAAAACTTTTCTCATTCTTTTTCGAACCCTCAAATTTTTCATGTCCCCATCTTGAACTTTGATCCTGAGGACCCCAACCAGTGTTTGCAGCTCTCTGGGTAGAAAATGGAACAAGATATAAATAGGCAACACTATAAATAATATAAACATAAAGGACTTTGGCATAGCTAACGATATATGGCAAACTACATTCTCCACTTGATATGTTTAAAACACCAGTCCTTGCAAGATGGAGAAAAAAAACCACGAATCATAAATAATGGAGGGAAAACAAGGTTTTTTTTTTTCAAAAAGTAACTACAAAATTAATAAAGCACACTCCTCTCAAGCCATCATAGTTCACAAAATCAATTGGACAAAAACATTGTTGCATTCTGACAATAAAGAATCCACATAAGGTAACAAAGTGTGGTAGTCAATAACCATGCCAGTTTTATGATCTAGATAATGAGTTCCATGAAATAAAAGAATAATTAGATTTCTCCATTCAACTCGAAATTAACATTGCAAATAGTACATGCTTTTTTGCAAGTAGCACATATTAATCATTTTCTTTTCACATAAATAAATTATTAAACAAACATCCCAAGGAGGTCCACATAATTAGTAGCTAGTGTAAGCCATTTATGCTTTAAATTCATCTGGACTCCTTACAATGACTTAAGAACATAGAAATGGTGATCATGAAGGGCCACCCAAATTAACCATGTATGAAAAGGAAATGAAACTTACTTGCTCATCATGGGAAAATTTACATCCAGCACCACGAGTACATTCACCTCTCTGGAAAGCACGACAAACCCCTCGGGCCTCCCTCTTCTTCTGTTCTTCCTCTTCATCTTCTTCCTCTTTCTTCTTATACTTTTCAACATGATCAACCCTTATAATTCGACCCAAAATCTGTGTCCCGTTAAGATTATCTTCAATACCAAAAAAAAAAAAAAACTCTATTATATCACTTTCTTCGTCATTGAAAAAAAAAGATGCTTAAATTTGAACGTTAAGAGAGTGAAATCCTAACCTACAGCAAGAATTGTACTTCTTTGGTCCTCATAGGCAAGAAAAGCAAAGCCTCTCGACTTCCCAGTACCCTTATCTCTAACAAGATTAACATCTACAATTTCTCCATATCTGAGAAAAATTAATAAACATTCAAGTCGGATGCAGGAAGTAAATTCACACCAATGACGAATCCCAACAAAATTTAAAGCGGAAAAAGGAAAATGTACTGGGCAAAAACAGCGAGGAGATCGCCTTCTGTGAGATCAAAGGGGAGGCCGCCTACATAAACGTAAGCCGAATCTTTGTACTTGGCGTGCCATGATGCTTCCTCCGATATTCCCAGATCTGCTTCTTTTGCGTTTATGTTCTGCAATCGCTTTACTAACGTTAATGGATTCATCGGATTCTGCTAAACCTTTCAGTTCTTCCCCCTATTTTTCAGCGAAAAACCCTAAATTTTGAATCCCCAAATTTCAGTAAAACCCTTTACAAAGAAAATTCATTAATTTTTAAATTTCCTTGGCTCGGGCCCTGGTTATGACGGCCCAAGTTCTGAGGCCGATAAGTATTAAGAATCTGGCCCAATAGTCCATAAATCTAAGGGTTCCACTTATTGTTAATTAATAATAGGATTCTAATTGGGAATTGGATGCATGTTTATATAAATGTAAGTAAGGGTTTAGGATTACTTGACCTGCTTTATATTCCAATTATTAATTACAAAAAATAATATTTCATAAATATTTAATTTAAACTCATATTTGGACTTTGAAATGCATGTTAAATTCAAGCATTTAACATGAACATTTTGTAAGATCCCATTTGATGGTACCACTTACACAAATGTTTCTTCCTTAGATTCCCCACCCACTTTGACTACCTAATTCCTTACATATTAACCTAATTTTGTTTCCAATATTAATGCCTCTTTGATTAATGTTACTTTCTTTCTACTTAATGAGTTGTCAAGTTCATAAATTGGAAAAAGTTTAATAACTCTCCCATAATTGACATGGTTCATGGCCTATGCCATTAAGACCATTTTATTTTACTCTGAAACTCTTACCAACCATCATAAATGTACATTGTATGTATATTTTCTTTTATATATATATAACTGAAATAATGTTATTTTTATTTTAAAATATCTATTTATGTATTCAAACTAACATATTACATACGTAATCCAGTAATTAAGATAATAATTTATTAATTTCAATTATAATTTTTTTTAAAAATTTATAAATAAATTATTATTATTAATTAATTCACTTAATTATGAGAAGTAATTAGTTTTTCATCGTACTTTGATTTAAAAGATTGTGACATGTCCATCAAATTAAGACCTTTTATTTTTTTAAAATTATCTTCAAGACGCACCTGACATTTCACTTCAGTTATTAAAGTACAATTTCTCTCTTCTTTCTTGAATAAAATATTAAATAAAATATATGTTCATTCAAACGCAAACACGTGTCCAAATTAGAATTTTCTCTGTAATAAAAAATTTTAGAACCATCGATTGATGTTTGACGCTTAGGCTAGGCGGCACGACCGGCCAACCACCGGCTCATGATCCCAACTTAACGTCCCAATCCGTTTAAAATACAAGATTAGGCATTCATCGACGTCGTTTTGATTGCAAAAATTGAAATCCAGAGCGGGCGGGAGCGGGAACCAACAACAGCCAGACCCCACTCTGCCACTCGCTCCTTTTCTATGATTTTCCACTTTCTTTCGTTTTCAACAGATCAGAAAAGCTTTCACTTTGGGCTGTGGGTCCCCAGTTAGCTGGACGATAAAGCCAAGCGTCTCATTTCTCCTTCCTCCTTTCGGCTGTCCCGAACCTTTTTTATTGCTCTGTCAATCTGCAATCTTAAACACTGATCAGAATATTTTACTTAACATTTTTCTTTTCAACTTTCTGTCTGGTCAGTTCCAGGTTTGGTTTTTCCTCTTCGTTTTCCCCTCAAATTGTTTCTTCTTCATTTGGTTTTGATCAGGCTTTCAGATCTAACATTCAATGCCTCGATTGCAGATTGCGTTCTTTAAGTCTAAGTGATGAGAGATAATGGCTTTTTACAGCAAAGACGTTGATTCAGCATTCCATGGCGCAGGGGCAAAACCGTATATTCTTTACTCTTAACCGTAGTTCTTTTTCCCTTGTGTTTCTCTGTTTTAATCTTGTTTTTGTTTATATCTAGTGGATTAGAAATCTGGTGCATTGAGGATTTGCGGTTGGTTCCAGTTCCAAAATACTCTCATGGAAAATTCTACTCTGGAAGTGCATATGTCGTTTTAAGTGTAAGTTCTAGCGTTTTAACTTTTTGGTCTAGTAAAATGGAGTTATGATTATTACATTTAGAATTTGAAAGACTTATATGTCTGGATTTTTGGTTGTTGTTTGAGACAGACAAGCGTGCTAAAAAATGGGCCTCCGCAGCACGACATACATTATTGGATGGGAAATGATGCAAACGAGGTTATTGATTGTTTTTTTTTTTTTTTCACGTTCTTGTCTTTCTATTCATGGACAAGATTATGTTTCAAGATTTTTATTGAATGTTAAATTTGGTAGTTTCTTCAACATCAGGAAGAGTGATGATACAGACAAGAAAATGGATGGAACCTGCCAAATGTGTTTGACCATATGTCCAAATAAAGCAAGTTGTTAGGTCTAAATATCACTCCGCTTGATTGAAATACGATTGAAACTTTTTTGTTAGAAAAATTATTGAAATGTTTTAGTATTTATTAATAGTATTAAATACTTTCACTTTTTTTTTTTCAAAAAAGGTTTGCCTCCTGAAACCCAAAATTATCAAGTATTAACCCATTAATATTTACATAATGCAGTCTTACTACTGCGTATTTTGAGAATGGTTGCTGTATTGGCAGGTAGACTCAGCCTTGGCATCGGACAGAGCGCTGGAACTAGATGCAGCGCTAGGGTCTTGCACTGTGCAGTATCGAGAAGTTCAAGGCCAAGAGACAGAGAAATTCTTGTCATATTTTAAACCTTGTGTCATTCCTGTTGAAGGAGTATATTCTTCACAGCCAGGGAACTCAAATGGTGAAACAAACCAAGTCACCTTGTTAACATGCAAGGGAGATCATGTAGTTCATGTCAAAGAAGTAAGTTGTATTTGAAGTTTGTGAAAGGAATTGAGATGAATTTAATTATTGGAGTTAACATTTCAACATAAGAAACCACAAAAAAAAAAAAAACTATAGATGCATGTTTTATAACATAATTACGAAAATAACTCTGGAGGGCAGTGATGAAAATTCAAGTTGAGAAATTAAACCTTGAAAGAGCCAAGTTGCTCTTGTGGTCTATTTTACAAGACAAAATCTAGTGATCCAATAAAACACTTGTTTAGGGATTGATTGTTCTATAGTAGGCATATTTTGGTAATTAGAGGCTATATTTATAATTCATGCCAACAAGTCAATACAAGGAGTCTATTCAATAATAAGCCATGAACTCATTATCAATCTTTATAATTAAATGGTTCTGTTATTGACTGGTACTATGTTAATCAATACACAAAGGAGTTTTGTTGTTCTCAATACCTTTGCTTAACATTAACTATGATTCTTCATATGTCATGCTTGCTGACCAGGTGCCTTTTTCTCGATCATCCTTGAATCACAATGATGTATTCATTCTTGAAACTGCATCAAAAATTTTCCTCTTTAGCGGGTGCAACTCTAGTATCCAAGAAAGGGCTAAAGCTTTGGAGGTTGTTCAGTATATCAAAGAGAATAGACACGCTGGAAACTGTGAAGTGGCAATTATAGGTTGGAAACTTTCTTGCAACCTTTTTTTCCAATAAAAGATATTGCAATCATTAAATGGTTCTCTTGCTGCAGAGGATGGAAAATTGGTTGGTGATTCTGACGTTGGTGAATTTTGGAGTTTATTTGGTGGTTATGCACCAATTCCCCGGGACTCAGCTTTGGCTGGTCAGCAACAAGTTGACAGTCCTGTAATATTGTTTTGGTGAGTTTGGCTTTGAATTTTGCCAATGTCTTTGTCAACTTGAACAAACTTAGTTCCTAAATATTTGCAAGGTTGTATATGAGTAGTCAGAAACAATTCTATTGTGCATTTGTAAACGTCAAATCATACTGTATACCTTTTGGCTATTACCTCCAATATTTTTATAAATAGCTGCTCTTTTCTAACTTTTGAACTGGTGTAAGATGTCGTTGATTGAATGAATTCGTCCTGTTAGTTTCTGGGTGATTCCAAGTCGTGTTACTCTTCTTCTTTTCTTTCTTTCTGTTTTCCAAGAATTTTTTTTTTCTCTTCCTTTAAATGAAATAGCATACCTTTCTCGATTGACTCTTTAAGATCTTTCAGGATAAATCTTCAGGGAAAACTATCTCAAATTGGAAGTGATTCATTGGATAAAGATATGCTTGAGAAAAACAAGTGCTATATGCTAGACTGTGGTGCTGAAGTTTTTGTTTGGATGGGAAGAAATACTTCAATAACTGAACGAAAGACATCTATTTCAGCTGCAGAGGTAAGAGTTATTTTCTTCTACTTCTTGCCCTCTCCCTTCCATCCCACTCTTTCTACTCACACATGTAGAAATAAAACAAAACGTTGGATTGAGTGCATCATTAGGGGGATATGTTGGATGCATTTAGAAACGCCAGGCCTGCATCTATAGATAAACTGTCATCATCCCTTTCCTCCCTTTACCTCTCCTTACTCTCCCACTTCTTATCCTGAAATCATAACAGCCATTTGAGCTGATATAATTTTTGTACAAGATGCTCTGGCTTCTTTGGAGAAGACTGGCAAGAATCTTATTAATTACGACATTGAGTTAATATGATAAGCTGTCTTGTTCCTTTTCTTCAAATGCTGTAATGTTCCTCAATCATTTAAGCTATTTATAGAATTATCAAGTCAGAATGCAGTCTATTAAGCTTTTTTGTGCTTTTCTTTTTTTGGTATATCTATTTATATCAAAAGTTAGCATGGAGAATGAGAGGCAGTGCTCTGCTTGAGCTGTAGATGAATAATCTCTAATTAAATTACTTGTTTTAAGTATGAGGTTACTTACATTGGTTCCTTATTCCGGCATACCAGCCTTGATTAAACAAGGTGGCCCCCTATTTCACTTTATGGTTCCCTCAGGCTAGGTATAAACTACAAGCGAGAAAATTTCTGGCAACAAATGATTTTATTATTCCCTTAAAGAAGATGGACATCCATGGATATCAGGTTCTGTCTTTAAGTGAAACTTTGATCTACTGGAGTCCACCTTCATAGGTTTCTATCTTTTCCAGATTTACAGTCTATGGTTTTACAGGATTTTATCCCCCAATGTAGAAAGTGCCCAAAAGGCATTCATTGTATGAGATAGTCTGGTGAATGTAAGGAGCATTTGTGATATGTAGATTGAAGAATTTGTTGCAAGTGTTACTGCCTCTACTTGTGCTTGCTCGCAGGAGTTTAAGGCATTCTTTCTGACTAGATTGCTGGCTACTCTTTTACAGGATTTCCTCAGAAAGCATGACATGTCAAGTAGGACTCACTTAACATTTTTAACTGAGGGTCTAGAAACTTCAATGTTTAAATCCTACTTCAATAGTTGGCCTCAAACTGCACAGACCAAGCTGTACGATGAAGGGCGAGAAAAAGTGGCAGGTTTGCGCCTATTGCAGCAAAATTGTTGGAAAGAAAGAGGTGGAAGGGATGTAGGCTATATATATGATGCACTTATGAATTTAACTTCATTTTCTTTTTCAGCAATATTCAAGCAACAGGGTTATGAAGTGAAGGAGCTTCCTGAAGAAGACTTGCAGTCTTATATAAATTGCAGAGGCACACTGAAAGTAGCTTCAATTTCAAGAAAATGATTCTTCTTTTTTCTGAGTTATGGCTTAAGCATTTACTGTCTCATATTTTGTGTTTTTGCAATGGTGGCATGTCAGGTTTGGCAGGTAAATGGTCATGAACTGTCCCTTATTCCAGTTTCAGAACAGACAAAGCTCTACAGTGGGGATTGCTATATTGTGCAGTATACATATCCTGGAATTGAAAGGGATGAGAGTTTATTTTATGCATGGCTTGGTCACAGAAGTGTACTGGTAAGCATGGTTCATTAATACATGATAACCTTCTTTGATTTAAATCTTGAGCTTTTGTCTGGTAAACAAGGAGATGCTTGAGATTGGGCATTAGGATCCATCCCAATCCTACAGCAAGCAATCGGAATCTTAGACATGCAAACTTTATAAAAAAAATACCTTTAGAATAATGCGTAGGGCACGCAAGAACATTTATCCTTTATAATAGAGATCCTGTATGTTTATTTCTATATATGTTTAATCAGGATTTTTTATCAATCAAAATTCTATAATGAACTATTAGAAGAGTGTAATGTTACAGATTTTATAGGTGATACCTTGCTTAAATGTTGAAAGTTTGTAGTTATTCAACTATAATATGAACTTTTTTCTTAAGAAGCTAAGTTTAACTTGTAGTGATTGTTGAAGTGCTATCATGACCAAAGGCTCTAAGTATTTTTCAGTGCCAAAGGCATTAGAGGAAGAGAAAAGAAACAATATCAATGAAAATCTCTAATTAGATATGATCATATCGAATCAAAAACAATATGACTACTTATTTCATTCTGTGCTTGTAAGTTGCATTTTCTTGTTTAGACTAAAACCTTGGCTCTTAATTTCATACAATACTGTTACTTATGCAATTTTAGTATCTTCAGCTATATTTTGCTGTAACATTTTAGTTTTTACGTACGAGCACTAGATCAGCTTTCTGACGATTTCATTTGTCTCCTTTTCTCATTCTCTGTTCCTTCCTGCAGGAAGATAGAGCTGATGCCATATTCCATATGAGTGCAATTGTTGATTCAACCAGAGGGGATCCAGTAATGGCAAGTTCTATTTTTCATTCTCCAACACGTATTATAATATTTGTAGCCTGATGCTACAAGTTAACTTAGGATGTTCAAGAATTAATCAAGTAGCTGTAAGCCATTTTAAGTCTATCTTATGTAGTTTGTCTTTATGTAATGATATTTTGCTTTGTGAGAGAAAGCCAATGGTTTTACTCATTCATGGTACTGAAAATGACAGGCTATGTCATACAGGCAAATTCTTATTTTTCTCTTTGTTGACCATCGCAATGGTCCTTTGCTTTTCTGATTCTAAAGGAGTATGATCTATTTTGCTATTCTTCATGAATTTGCGAGGATTAACTACTAAGGGATATATGTATAACACCAACATTTTTTGAATCTCAACAAATGATGTTCACTAGGTTAAATCTCATGTTTTATTTTCAGGCTCAGGTTACTGAAAATAGAGAGCCAGTTCAGTTTTTCCTTATTTTCCAGACATTAATTGTTTATAAGGTTAGTTCTTCACAAGATTTGCTGGCCCTTAATTCCTTTCGAGTATTAATTAATTTTTGTATTAATCTACCGACAAAATAGGCAATCTTCTAATACTATATCTTGCCTTTTTGTTTTTATAAAATAAAGGGAGGTATCAGTGCAGGGTACAAGAAGTTTATTGCTGAAAGTGGTATTGATGATGATACTTACGATGAAAAAAAAACAGCTCTTTTTCGAGTTCAAGGGACGAGTCCAGAAAACATGCAAGCTATCCAGGTTGATCATGTAAGTCCGAGATCTAACATTCATCCTAAAACAGTACCCTTGTTCTCTCTCTCTCTCTCTCTCTCTCTCTCACACACACACACACACACAACCAGACTTACACCCACAGGCGTTCACATGCCTTAATACATATTCTTTTTGCCGATAACCATTCAAACCTCATATTTCTGTTGGATGCCAATAAGAGCCTTTGCAACAAACATTAATAACCTGTTGTCAGTATAAGAATTACTTTTTCTTTACAAGAGAAATACACTTCCATGTTCCAAAATATATCCTATATATTTATACAACTTGTGGTACTTGTTGAGAGCAACCTACCATTGCCATGAATATGATATGCCAAATATAAATGAGTTAGTGGTCTTGCATTTCATTTTTTATAGGAAAATCAGTTAAAAAATTGAATCTCCAGTTTACTTTTGCACCTTTTGTTGCTTGCAAACATGATTACTATGCTTACATTGTGAAAAGAGTAACACTTGATATCAATTAAGTCATTAAATGGTTAAGTCACGTTCAAAGGTTGATTAGTTTTCATCTTGAGAAAGCTTTGAACTTTCAAGCAGAATTATTTTTTTTGTTTAGGCTTTCTCAAGTTATTTAGCTGGTTGGAATAATTTTGCTATTTTATGATAATTTAGAAATATTGAGTGCAAATGTTGTTTCCTGTGATATGAGACATTGCTACTCTTTATTTTTTTCCTTTATCCTTCTTCAGTACATATGCTCCTCCATGTATGACTGACTTGTTAAACTAAAATTTTTTCAGGTTTCAAGCTCCCTGAATTCATCCTACTGCTACATCCTGCAAAATGGAACATCTGTCTTTACTTGGATTGGGAATCTCACCTTGAGCAGAGACCATGATCTTCTTGATAGAATGCTTGAACTGATTAATGTATGTAATTATATTATTCAAATGGGCTGTAATATTAGATATTTTAATTAGTTTCTATTTTTAGCAATAAATTTTCTCTCAATGGCTGAGAAAGCCATTGCTACAAATTTATGTTGTGAATTTCTCATTGTTGTTTTCTGATCCTTAATTTAATCATCATTGATTTTATTTCTTTGATGCTATTTACAGCCGACATGGCAACCCATATCGGTGAGGGAAGGAAGCGAACCAGATAGTTTCTGGAGTTCACTTGGTGGAAAGACAGAGTATCCAAGAGAAAAAGAGATGAAAAAATTCATAGAAGATCAACATTTATTTAAATTTACCTCTACTGAAGGTAAGCAAATTTCCTCTCTTTTCACTATTGTTCTCTGGAAGGATAATTTGCTTCTGCCTTGGTTCAGAAGTTTGCCAGCTGTAAATTGCTGCAAAACATGTCTGACAGTTGGTTATGGTTCTTTGCCGCTTGGTTTGATTTCCCTTTTCAGGTGATTTCAAGGTACACCTTGTTTGGTTCTGTTGGCTTGCGTATCTGTCATAGTTAAGCATGTTTGGTTGCATTATAAATGTTGTCATCAACTCATATTGCAAATATAGATTTCTAACAAAGAGTTCATTGAAATTTAGGCTAGTTAAGGGAAATGCCTGTTTTTGAAACCATTCAAATGTCAATAGGATTGTCATTACCTATCTATGTTAAATTCAGTTCCATGGACTTTCTGTAAGGATAGATCTCTATCTCAAGTAGATTAAATGGACTTTGGATATACTCATAAATTTCATTCTTTTTGCTAATTCCTAGGATTGCATGTCAGAGAGACATAAGAGTTCTTTAATCTTTATAGTGTGTAGGACCTGTAGTGAAAGTAGGTTCTTTGTTCACTTCCTTTTGTGAATGTGCCTTGAATAAGCAGCCCAGTCTGCTGATTAGTTCATCCACCATTTTGGTCAGAAACATTTTAACTTTTCCCATGAAGCTGGTCAATTGCTTTTTGAATTTCATTTCAGGGTAACGTCAGTATATGCTAGAGTCCATCATGTATTGTAGAGAAGAGTATTATCACTGTTCAAACTTTTTGTCACAATTTTATAGCCTAGGTAGTAAAAGGAAGGTACTTAAATTTGCCTGGTGAATCATGTCTCAGCTGAGTGTCTAAAATGAAGTATAGAGAAGTGAGTCATTTTGGATTAAACTCATTAATCTATGATAAAGATAAATTTATATATA